CAACTGAAGCTCCGCAGAAGATGGGTGATGCAACAGGACAATGACCCAAAGCATACAAGTAATTCAACAAAAAAATGGCTTCAACAGCACAGAATACGCCTTCTGGAGTGGCCCAGTCAAAGTCCTGATCTCACAGATTGAAATGCTGTGGCATGACCTTAAGAGAGCGATTCACACCAGACATCCCAAGAATATTGCTATACTCAAATAGTTTTGTGAAGAGGAGTGGTCCAAAATTACTCCAGATTGTTGTGCAGGTCTGATCTGCAACTACAGGAAACGTTTGGTTGAAGTTCTTGCTGCCAAAGGAGAGTCAACCAGTTATTAAGTCCAAAGGTTCACATACTTTTTCCTCCCTGCACTGTGAATGTTTACATGTTATGTTCAATTAAACCATGGCAACATCTAATGTTTGTGTAGTATTATTTTAAGCAGACTGTGTTTTTCTATTGTTGTGACTTAGATGAAGTTCAGAGCACATTTTATGACCAATTCATGCAAAACTCCACGTAATCCCAAGGGGTTCACATACTTTTTCTTGCAACTGTAGGAAGGTTTCTGATTTTCTTAGTGTGCAGCTAAATTGGCATATCATCTGGCCTTACAATTGTCATGGTGATTATGAAAAACAACGTTGTTCTTGTTAAGGTGGTCTTAACTTGAGAGTTTTAGTCTCCCAAGGCCATATTCTTCAGCATATCTGTCATTTTAGGTAAGAAAGTAAGAAGACTGTTAAACTATAGAGTACTTAATTTGCCAGGAATGCTCAAATTAAATCCAAACTTTCAAATGTTGCAACATTGAAATTGGAGACTAGGAATGGATTAATTCCATCTTTTCTAAATAGTATGAGGGAGCAATATCTTTTCCATGAACTCCAGTTGGATAGCTGAAGAAAAAGAATTAAGTAGCAACAAAAGTGACTCATTTCAGCCACTGTGTGACTTAATTGCAAAATAAATAAGAGGTCAAAGAACACAGCCAGACAGGATGAAACAGCCTGGTTTGCTTTTCACAAGGGCCAGACCAAGCATAAAAGTGACAGGCTCCATATATGACTGCGCAAAGTAATAGAATGCAGAAATCCAGCAACAAACCTGGGATGTCCCTGGGCACAGTACAGAGATTACACAGGCAGCTGGCAGTTCAAACCACGTCTTTATTGCTCCAAATTTCCCCAAACACTCCCACATTTCTGGCAAGTCCCAGAGCAAAGTGATCTCTCACACACACACCTCAAGCAGCCTCTGGCTGCAAATAGTCCAGCCCAACACTGTGAATACCATGGCTACACAGCAAGATATCTATCAGGCAAGTTGAAGAATCCAGGAAGCAAGGGGGGGATGGCAAGTAATCCAGAAATCCAAAAAGAATGCAAGGACTCCAAGAAAGTTCAAACATTGGCACTAAACACTCCAGGAATTAAGCATTTGCTCCCGACAAATGCCCCTTCCCACAGTGTCTCCTGAAGTTTAAATCCCCAGGTATGCCTTGTGAAGAGACTCTCATGAGTAGTTGGCTCAGTCTACGCTGTTCTCGCCTTCTCTCCACTCTGCATGCTCAAGGATCAGGAGGGGGTGGTCCTTGCTCATCGCCTGAGCTCTGTGTCTCATGTTCATTGCTTAGCTTCTCTTGGTCATCCTGCCCCCATTCCTCCCTGCCTACAAGCCATCCTAAACTTGAAAGCCCTGGCCTGACTGGCCCTACTCTCCCCAACGAAGGGCCAACGAAGCTGCCCCCTCGATCTTTGTTGGCTCCAGTTCCAGCTCATCTTCCCCTACAGATTCAGGATCCGACAGGGGAATGACAAAGTCTATGTGTAATATATTAGGACTGAGGACCACTTAGAAAAGTTCTTCCTACATCAGACAAGGCATGATACCAACAACAGTAACTGTCAGTGACTGTCCAACAACCAGCCAATGTATCAGACAGCACAAACAATGGGCAGCCAGATTCAGCAAAGAGGATACAGTAGCAACCAACCTCTCCAGACCACAAACAGCATGGATCACCTTTTCTTCTGTTGCCAGAATGGCAGCAGAAAACTGAAATTATGCCCAGTTATGGGAGCTCCAGCAAATATGCCTCTTAATAAGAAAATTTTCAGAACATAGTCACATGCAAGTTTAAATAGGCTGTTCCAGACAATCAGGAAGAGAGGGCAAAAAAATCACTCTTCCATTCTCCACCTTGACATGTTCCAGAGCAAAAAGAGATTCAAGGGATGCAAGAAAATAATTTGGGAAAGAAGGTGATAGCTATCCTGAAAGTATTACAAATAGAAAGAGGGTTCTTAGCCCTAAATATCTATAGGAATGAAGATATTTCAATATTAGTTTGGGATACTGAAAAAAGAGTCATGAGATACAGAGACTGAGTCCACTTCCTCATTGAGTTTAGATGGGGAGTGGATCAGTTTTTGGATGAAAACATGCAAACCTTGCCTCCCTTTAAGAGCTTAATGCTAACTCATTCCCAGAGATACTTTGTAAGTCAACAAATCACTCTACTTGGAATTGTATCCTAGCAACCCAACGGCTATTGTCTCTGAAAGAATTACAAGGATGCTTCCTACAGGGTGTGCCATGGATCTCAGTGTTCCTTTCTGGATGTTTTAATTGAAATAATTGAGCAGATGGAGCTGGCCAAGTGATAACATCCCTTACATTAGTGAACTCTAATGTACTTTCCACTAAGAGAGATCAAGTAATGGTTACCAATACTTCTAGTATTAATGAAATAGGAATAGCCATAATGTCCAAATTAATGGTCTTTAAAGGAGAGACGATAGAAGTATTGTTGAAGAACGAACAGTGTGTTGAAATGAACACATGAAATATTACTGGTAGCTTGGACTACAACTATTTCTTTATGATTGCTACAGCTTCATGCAGGAGCTGTGGTGGCGCAGTGGTTAGAGTGCAGTATTGCAGGCTACGTCTGCTGACAGCCGGCTGTCTGCAATTTGGCAGATTGAATTTCACCAAGCTCAAGGTTGACTCAGCCTTCCATCCTTCCGAGGTGGGTAAAATGAGGACCCAAAATTGTTGGGGACAATATGCTGACTCTATAAACCGCTTAGAGAGAGCTGGAAAGCACTGTGAAGCAGTATATAAGTCTAAGTGCTATTACTATTGCTATTCAACTTTTTCTAGACAAAAATCTAAGGCAAAGTATCAGCAAACTAGCCAGAGGAACAGATCTGTTGGAATGTTTACAGTTTGTAGGCATATTCATGCTTCATGAGTAGTAGAACTGTGGGATCTGTATTCAAAGATCAGAAGATGACTCTGTCTTTGTTGATTTTGCATTCCAGCTCTTCAGTTATAGCTGCAGTTGTGCTGTACATTAGTTGGTTTGTTTCTTGCAGTGAGCTGGTTCTTATATTTGATATTACAATATTGGCATCTTTTAATGTTTGTGCTAGCTGTTTCTTTGTAATAAACTTCAATGTAGGCAATCTTATTCAACCTATTCTCTGAGTGGAGTGTGGTAGACCCCTGCTTCTACAAATCTGATGCTTAGTACCTTTTTTGTGCTGCAATTGTAACTTTAATCAGTCACTAAATGAATGTAAGTCAAGCACTACCTTTTCAACTCTCATTTTAAGTACAAGTGTGTTTTGTGGTTTACAGCCCCATTCTGTCAACAGCTTTGAATATCATTTTGTGTGAAGTTTGCATTCCTGGTTAATAGAAATAAAAGCATTGCTCCTCCTCGGAATGGGACATTTAGGCACGGACCTTTGGCTGCGCCTCCTTCACTTCCAGCCCCTGTATGAGATAGAAGGCTTTAAAATGGCTAACTTCCAGAGTGTTAAAAATGAAATGGTAATATATTATGACTATCCACTGAAAATCCAGTGTGTTGTCTAAATGGAAGACATCTAAAAATTATCAAGGAGAATTCTAGGAATTCCTCAGGAGTCTGTGAACAAACCCAAAGGCCTAAAAAAAATAGGCATATATAACCAGATTGGGAGGTTTGGAGAAAATGAGAAAAAAATCAAAGGTTCCAAAGAAATCATGCAGTTGATTGTTGAAGTTGTGGCTGAGAATTTGTGGCAGCAAATTATAGAATTTATGCTTGTGCCAGAAAAAAGAGTAGTCATCAGTACCGAAGTCAGCCCAAACTTCTAACACCATATTTTGAGGGAAGTCAACTGGTGGGATTGGCAAGTGGAATGGAGGTAAGAGAGCTGCACACAGGGAGGTGTAGAATTGCTTTGTGTACCCTGGGTATTTATGCAGTAATAATGAGATGAGTCTAGTATGAATGTTTCTGTAGTACAGAGTTGGAGAAGCACGTGTCCAGTATATGTCCAAAGTCACAGAGCCATTGTCTCTTTGGATAAGGAATTTTCCTGCATGACATTATGCCCGAGTAAAGGCCCAGTGAAGAAACTTCAAGGTTAGTTAAGTATGCCATGGGGGAGCAGAGTACCTGTTAGATTCATTGGCAGTAAGGGTTCGGATCATGCTAAGTCCATTTGGCACTTTGTATTTGCTACACATTGTTTAATGAGTGCTTTGGTCTGATCATATTGCATGTTGAGTAGAAGGAGTAAGACTAGGGATGAGATTGTAGTTGCCGTTGCCTGTTTCCATGTGGATTGAAAGTTTATAGTTAATGGGATAAGACCAAAGGGAAATAAATAGTCTGAGCCAACAGTTGAGTATGGTCACCTACACTCTAACCTGCACTTTGATGAAGCCTGCTCTAGTGGCAGGATGGCATTGGAGACAATTTGTGACTTGAACAGCTCATTCTAGAAATTTGGATTGTACAAGTTCTAATGGCACAGAATTTGAAAAGGGCCAATAATTGTACAGCTATCTAGCATTAGAAGATATAGTAATTTTAAATATTCATTAAGATACTTTATCTTAAGAATTTCTGAGATTCAATTTATTGTATATATGTTTATAAATAAATAATAATCTGCGGTACAATGACTTTGTCTATAAAGATTAAAAAATGATTGATTTTTCTCACAGAAGACAGAGAGGAAAAAAAAGAACTGAATCACATAGAAGAAAAGGAGCCCAACAAGGAGGAGGAGAAACCTCCAGAAAAATGTATGTATAGCAAAAATAAGAAATTCATACTGCTTGCAGGAATTATATTGCACTATTTTTGTATGTTGGCTATACTTCAAAATGGTTTATGTCAGGGGTGAAATCCAGCAGGTTCTGACAGGTTCTGGAGAACCAGTAGCAGAAATTTTGAGTAGTTTGGAGAATCGGCAAATACCACCTCTGGCTGGCCCCAGAGTGGGATGGGAATGGGGATTTTGCAGTATCCTTCCCCTTTCACGCCCATCAAGCCACACCATGTCCAACAAGCCACGCTCACAGAACCAGTAGTAAAAAAAATTGGATTTCACCACTGGTTTATGTGTGTGTGTGTGTATACTCTATTATAAACAATGACTAAATGAATTCACTTGTTTCTTCCTCATTTCCTTCCCCTCTGCTACCTTCAAATCATATGGAAGCTTTAGGGCTCTCTGTTAAAATCATTACCTTATTTTTGGATAGTCCTGTTTTTTATTTTTTCTACTGATAGCCATTCTGTCATTTCAGTTATCTACTAGGTGAAATTTCCTCGTTGCATACAATATGCTTAAAATGCAGAAAAACACATCATCAGCGTGTTAAAAGTTTTTCATAGGATTGAGCTGCTGTTCGTTGTGTCAAGTATTAAAATTACTAGGAAAGCAAATGTATTTCCAAGTTCACTTTAGTTCTCAAATTATTTAGCTGCCTTATCACTACTGAATCCCTGGACCATGCTAAATCTTATACCAGAATACTGTACTTTTTAGTCACACTAGATGTTGTTTTAGGAACTCTTTCCAGAGCACGATACCATAGTCTCTTGAAACTGAAGGATGCCAATGAATTGTACGTGCATATATATATGATGCATGATTGGCAACAAATATTACTTAGCGTATACCATATCATACATGAACTACCAACATATACCATGTTTCCCCGAAAATAAGACCCTGTCTTTTGCCATATACTCAAAAGCCCAATTGGATTTATTATCAGGGGGTGTCTTATTTTGGGGGAAACTGGGTATTAACATTTCATCTAGATTAGTAAAACACAATAAATATAAAAGTTAAAATGATCTATGTTCAATTACCAATGTCTAACCATCTAACCATTGAAGTGCAGCATTGTTTATTTTTAAAAGGTCAGATTCTGAACCAGTATATGTCCTCAGGTTACAGCTGGTCACAATGTGATCTATAGTTAGATATGGGACCCTGCAGTCACACTGAGGGGAGAATATTGTGCCCCAGGTATTCAGAGAGTCCTGGCAGACACCATGTGAGATACAAATCCTATTCAGGATTGTCAATTGCTGACATAGTAGTTCAAAGCATGGCACATTTTGTGGGGTCATTTATATGTCTTCCTAAATCTTGGAGTTCAGCAACCCTTTTGGCTTTCCATTGGGAATTGATGTTAAAGTTGTTGGGCAAATGTTATGCAAGTGCCAGTGGAGGCTTCCTGGATTTGAGTCTTACAGCTGATAAATGAGAAGGTCAGTATGCACCAGTAGGAACAGGTTATTCATAACCTTTTCTGTATTTTTTCACTAGTGCAGGGGTCTGCAACCTTAAATACTCATAGAGCCATTTGGACCCGTTTCCCACAGAAAAGAAAACATCGGGAGCCACAAAATCTGGGTGGGCGTGGCCAACTCAATGTCACTCACTTCCACCGGTCACATGACCCCCTAACCACACCAACCCAGCCGGTCATTAGGGCAGAGAACCAGTTGTTAAAAAACACCGGAAACCACAAAATCCTTTTGACATATTTCTCTCTCCCCTTCCTCTATCTCTCCCCCCCTCTCCGTATCTCTCTATGTCTCTCTCTCTCCCCCTTTCTCTGTATCTCTCTGTCTCTGCCCTAGCCGCTTCTTTATCCCCCACCGTCGCCCTTACCTTCTCAGGCCAGGTGAGGAATGACTGGGAGGGGAGGACGAGGGGCTGGGCCAGCCAGTGGTAGGATCACCTGACAGGGAGCCACAGCAGACAACCCAAAGAGTCACATGTGGCTCCGGAGCCGCAGGTTGCTGACCCCTGCACTAGTGCATTTTGCCTACATAAAGCTGGTGGTGCTATATGGCTCAGAGCAAATGGAACTATATGGCTACAAAATGAATAAATTTGGGTCATAGTGAAATACATGAAATGAAAAGAAATACATACATGCAGATAAATACTTAAACGAGAGAGTTGTCCCAGTAGGTTTTCCAGCCCTATTTGGAGACACTCCTAGATGCAAAATAGGTGTTCTGTCACTGACTTATTCCAGCTGCAAGATGCTACCAGTTTTTCTTACTGGGTAGTACCATTTTAAGAAACCTAGTAACATCATGCCTGATTCATATTCACATTATCCCTAGTGAACCAAAGTCACCAGCTTGCTCAATGTGGTGGAATAATTACGGCTATTTTCAATATTTCTATCTTAATTTTTGTAAGCATAAATTTTAAAAATTAATCTAATACATTGCATACTCATGGTTGAGAATTATTGAATATTTTTTATTTATTATGAACAAAGAAAAATAGACATTGTTTCCCATTGGGTTTTTAAGGGTGTATCATACCCTTTTTAATACTGCTTTTTCTCAAATTTTGGATTACTTGAGGATTTATTTTTTTGCTTTCATTGAGAGAATCATGGTCTTGAAAAGGGCAACTAAGAAATCTATAAAAAAAATCAAAATAAATTTTAGGTGAGGCATCAAGAAGAAAGCGTTCTAAATCAGAGGATATGGATAGTATCCATTCTAAACGCCGGCGGTATCTGGGAGATTTTGAAGCAGAATTTGAAGTAAAGATTACAACCAAAGGAGATGTTCATCAGAAACTTGAAAAGGTAAATATGGCATTCTTGATTTGTGCATTTTAGGTAATTTGCCTTTTAATTTAAAATACTTTCTCTTTGTTCCAGCTATATTAAAATTTTAAAATGCTTAATCTTGAAAATAAATGCTTGGCAGGATTATGCTTTATAAAGAAGAAAACTATATTTTGGAAATGCTATGTTCCATTGTTCTTGCCTAAGTCGTATTTCTTTAACTTATTGGCTGAATAACAAACCCATTCTTTCCTTTTTACCCACGAGATCTAAGCATTTTTTTGTGGGGAGGGGGAGGCTGTCCCTTTCCAGCCTGTGGTGGTGTGAGGGGTTGTGGCAGAAATGGAGTAGCCATCCACAAAAGACCTAGGTTTTCAGGGCCCCTTGGGAAACTTAATAGCAATAGCACTTAGACTTATATACTGCTCCATAATGCTTTACAACACAGTCTGAGCAGTTTACAATGTCAACATATTGCTCACAACAGTCTGGGTCTTTAAGTAGAAGAAAAATCATCTCACCCAGAAACAACCGCTCTTCACTGTTCTCATCACTCCTGCACTTTCTTAGGTGTTTTGGCTGTCCCCAGCTTCATGGCAGCCATGTTGATTGCCACTGCTCCTTGTCTTCGGATGAGGGGGATTTTCCAAGTCAGGGAGGAGAGATGTGGCTTCCTTGACCTGCAAGGTGCTCCCCTTTGCTTCATCACCCCTACAGGGTGCCTATGGCTCATTTCGGAGCCCTCTGATGTGGAGAGCATGGAGCAGGGCTGCAGAGCTCGCAGTCCTTGCCTCCAATGCCACCAGAAGACAGCTGGAAGCCTGCTGTACCAGTTCTGAGAACAGCTGCTGCCACCCTGCCACCCTCCAGCTCCAAGTAAACCTAATGATCTCCTAATTCAACAACTCCACAACCCACATTGACCCAACAAATTCTGTGAGCCCTAAATTAACATATTCCTATAGAGAATCATATAGTTGACCTTGAAGACTTTTAGCAAAATTTCATTCAAGACCAAAAAGACAAGATAGCAGAAGAGAATGAAATTTAAGATTGTCTCGCTTTGACTCTCTCTGGTATAGGAAAGGGAACATGCTTTTAGGCTTTTAAATTTCTGTTTCTGTAGTCTATTTCAATAAAGTAGCGTTCCAGTATTTAGAGTGGCATACCTCAAATGGTTGACTATATCCATCTTTGGTGCCATTTTTTTAAAAAAGTATGGAATTATTCATAAATGTGCTGTGTGGAGGTAGTTCTGGTGGGGAATGACGAATTGATGCCCGCTCGCAGAGGGAGGCATTGTGGCCAAAAGGCAGTTGAATATGAGATCCAGACTGCCATATATTTTCTCTAAATTAAAGAGAGTGTCAACTTGCAAAGCTTTCAAGTTGCCACGAGCAGGAAGGAAGGAGAACTGAAGTGAATTCCATACATTCTTTCTGACCGCAATCAGAAGGAGGATGTTAGGTTTCACAGCCAGCCAAAGTGGTTAATTGGAGAATGTGATTTATGACATGGCCAGAGAGAAGGGGAGAGACAGGGTCATAGGGGAACGTAAATCTACGCAGGATCAGTCCTAACTGCATCCCAGTATTGCCGGAATGTTGCTCCTAATAAATGACTATATTTAATGGCAGAAACTGATGTTATTATAGTCACTTGTCAACTGAGAATCACAGATTCCAGCATCTGAGCTGTTAATGCAGCCTTTTAAGGATTCAAAGTTCAACCAAAGCTCATTTTCATTACTTTGGAAATTAATTTTTACACTCTTTTTTAAAGATTGAAAAATCTTCATAATTGCATGTTTGGCATTCACTGGGTAGGTTCAACCTGTTTAAGAAGGAAGAAAATTACATTTTTCCAGCTTTGTAAATTTTTTGAAATATACCAGAAAAGGATGATTATATCAAGAAAGTTTTTAAATGCTGAGTTTAAATCAATGAAATTGATTTAAAGGAAGACTTTGAGGTGAATTAAAAAGATGCTTTCACATACGAAAATCTCATTCCATGCTGAAAACAAAATTTTGAAGGTTGATCACTAGAGACTACCATATGACAGCTTGAAAGGAAACATTTGATATTTGAATCCAATAAATATTTGAGTTATTTGAACTCTATATTAGAACCAAAAGCTGTTTATTGAACAAATTTAATTAAATTAATTGAAAAATTGAAAAGAAATTATTAGCAGTCTATCAAAACAGTGGTTCCTTTTAAATTGGAATATAAGAGATTTGCTGGAATTTATTACAAGGAAATTAGAAATGGACATGGATAAAAATAAGAATTTGACAGAAGAGAAGTACAGTAGAAGAAAACAAAAGTAAGAATTCCATGTATGGAACCTAAGATTTTCTGAGAGGAGGAAGAAAAAAATACAAAAATTAGCTTACTTGATTTTGATTAAATAGTGGGTTACTTATCTCTGGTGATTTTTAATGATTATTTTGACTGTATAGTTTTCTTTAGGAAAATGTTCAATTTGATATAATGGATTGGTTTGCAATAGCTATATTATTACTTTAACATAAAATAAGGAGAAACTATCTCTAGTAATGTTTAATAGTTCTTAATTTTTTGTAATGTTTAATTGTTAATTGGAATTAGATTAGATAGGGATTTGGGAATTAGGTTTTAAATAGATAGTGGAATTATATATTTTATGTTATTTCTGTTAACTTTTATTGGATCTCTGTTGATTAATAAGATGAACGGAGGATTTAGAGATATGTTTACAGGTAACAGTTTGATACAACCATTTGTTTAGTGATTGTTCAAAGTTATAATGGCACTGAAAAAAGTGACTTATGACCATTTTTCAAATGACTATTGCAGTATGCCTGTGGCCACATGATCAAAATTCAGATGCTTGCCTACTGGCATACATTTATGATTGCTGTTGCTGTTGCACATGGGGTCATGTGATCATCTTTTGCAGCCTTCTGACAGTCAGTGGGAAAGCCATTAACTTAACAACTGCAGTGATTCACTTAACAATTGGGGCAAGAAAGGTCATAAAATGAAGTAAAACTCACTTAACAACTGTCTTTGCTTAGCAACAGAAATTTTGGGATCAGTTGTGATCGTGAATCAAAGAAAACCTGTATAGAAAATGGGGTGTGGTAGAGAATGAAGCTTTTTTTAATTTAGTTATATTTTAAGAAACAGTGATAAGTTGTTAAATGTTGAATGTACTTGCTGGCCATGACGGAGGAAGTTTCTTTTTGTTTCCTTTTTTTTTCTGCACTCTTTAAGTACTTTCTTTTTTTATGTATTTTTGTGTTTGATTCTTGTATCTGTTTTATGTGTTTAATATAATCCATAATAAAATTATTGAAAAAGATGTATATGTAAATTAAAAATAACAGCATAATCTTGTTTTATTAGTACAAGGTTTGTTTTTCATTGATAACTATATATAATCAGTAAATAAAATTTTAAATTAATTTTATTTCATTTTTACTTAAATGTTAAAATGAAACATTTTAATGATAACATTTAAAACAAAATTTAATCTTAACTTGCTACTTTTTCATGTATATTTTTATAGGTCATCCATCGTTTTCTAGAAGAGAAATTTAGTGCCATGGAATGTGCGTTGTTTGAGAAAACTCTAGAAGATTTGAAAAGCAGAGTAGATAAAATTGAATGCAATAAGAGACACAAAACCGTCATTACAGAATTACAGGTATCTATGCTTATATGTCTGAGAGTTATTTTTCCTCCAATATTTTTCCTCCAATGACTTTCTTGTGAAGCAGATAGAAGTAAAACCACATCTTAAAAAAAACACTGATTTTTCTTGATGAAACCAACATTATAAAACTGAACTATATCATTAATTTATTGAGACTATATTTCATTTTTATTTTATTTTTCTCATTTTGAGGCTAAAATTGCAAGATTGACAAAACGTTTTGGAGCAGCTAGAGAGGACTCAAAGAAAAAACCAGAAGTAAGAACAGAACTTTTTATTATATTGTTGATTGACTATTAAGCTCAAAACTGTTATTAGTAACAATGCAAATTTTAGTATACCAGTATTTAATTCATGCATGTTTTTAGCTAAAATACAACAATGGAATCAGATGCATTCTTTTATATAATTATGAAATTATGTGTTAACTTGGAGAAGTTATTGGATACACATAAATTTGTGGACTTGTATTTCTAAATTGAAATGAGGTAAGAAAAATATTTTGGGGGTTCCCAGTTGGAGTAAGATGAATGCCATAGTGAATGCCATTGAATATTTAGCTGTAACTGACAGATTAGTGTGATCACTTGTTAATACCCACAATATTTAGCTAGTACATTACAACTCCTTGTATCTACTGAGTTTTCTAGAAGAAAATTAAAGGATTAAACATTCCACCCCTAAAATTTATTCTTGATTAAATGCAAAATTACAGTTAAACACGTTATTTTAATTTAATTTTAGTTTTTAAACCATTAAACTAGGCATATCCAAGCTGTGGCCTGCGGTTTCCATGCAGCCCTGAGCAGCTAGTAACGTGGCCTTATTTATACATTTAATTGTTCGTTTGTTTGTTTGTTTGATAGATTGATTTGCTACCTATCTCATTTCAAAGCAACTCTTGGCAGTTTACAGTAATAAAAACCATAAAAGATAAATATTTATAAAACAATAAGAATGGAATTATAAAGATAAAATTATAGTTAAAAGATGGGAAGAAAGGGAGCAGGATGCACACGCCTCTTAATTCATCAATCACCTCCAATGTGATGCTACCCTGTTGGGGCCCCAAGCCATCTGGTAGAGCCAGGTCTTCAGGTCCTTACAGAAGATCAGAAGGATGAGAACCAATCTCACCTCAAGGGTAAGATGTTCCAAAAGACAAGAGCCACAGCAGAGAAGGCCCTTTTCCTGGAGCTTGCCAGCTGAAATTGCTTGATTGTCGGGGTTTGCAGCATAGCATGCCTCCTTTGAAAGAGTGGGTGGGGTGGGCCAGTCCCATACATTAACTATATTATATATTTTATATGTGGCCTAAGATCATTCCTCTTCACTCAATACAGCCCAGGCAAACCAAAAGGTTGAATACACCTGCATTAGACCATAGGGGACAATTTGATGTGTCTATGTATCTTTCAGAATTAATTGTACTACAAATTTATTTGAAGAATGGAGAGCATTCATAATTCTAACTTATCTTCATAATTTATGAGCTAGGAAAAAATAGTTCCAAAAAGATGCTTAAATATCTTAACTTTTAAAATAAGAATGGGAAGTCTAAACACCTTACCTTGATAGTCCCTGATAGATATTTACTATTGCTACATTAATGCATTATCAAGCACCAGGATTGTTTTGATAGTTTAGATATGTCAGTTCATTTACTATGTCAGAGGCTTCAAGGGAAGAAAATATATTTATATTGTATCATGAAATGTAATACAATACTTATTAAGCAGAACTTGAGATTTTCTGAAAGAGAAGTGTGCCTAAAATAGAGCGATCATTTATGAAGTACAAAATTTAAGTTGCAAATCTCACATTGGTTTGTGTCACTTTGTAGACTCTACAAAACACAGCCCATTCTCCAGGAAAAGCAGTGAGTGATACAGGCAATGTCAATAGTGCGACATATCGGTAAGCTGCAACTCCCTAGTTATACTTTTTGGAAATTTAGTTAGAAAGATAACTTCTGCAGAAAAGTACATATATTTTGATGGCAACTATATTTCACATTGTATTTATAAATGTGCCCTTTTTTCTGTTACCCAAATATATGTTAATCCATTCTAGTGATGAAAAGCATAGCATGGGGAATTCTTAGGGCAAAAGTGAGCAGCCTGTAGTTTTCAACTGTATGCCTTAGTTGTTGAGAAATAATGGCAGTTAGCATCACACAAAATATGAAAGACAGAGATTGCTTGTTTTAAACTGAGAAATATCTTGGGGTTTTTTAAAAAAATAAGGCTTTGTTTTACATATACAATAGGTATGCAGAATTCAGTGATATTGTGAATGATTTAGAAAAATTGAGTAATATTAAATTATTTAAATTTTAAAATAATTTTCTTTTGGACTTCCTGCTATACCTCCTCTACTTGATACAGCTAACATAAATCTTTGTTCTGTAGAAATGCTGGTACAGTAAGGCAAATGCTGGAGTCCAAGAGAAATGTAGGAGACACTCCATCAACTACTTTTCAGTCCCCTGTGAATACAGGTAAAACTTATCTCAATTATGTATATTATTACTTTTATGGCACATTTTAAAAATCAAATAAGTAAAAACTGACTTGATATAATTCAGCCAAACAGAAGTGATTTAGTTGAAAATAACAGATGCTGTCTTGTTTAAACCCAGTGATAGCATCAAACAATATCTGAGTCTTAAAATGAAATACGTAGAGTTTTGTCCTTAAACTTAATATACAGTTTTATTCTTAATGTATCCTTAAACATTCATAAAACCAGTTTGAACACCATATAAAATAAACCAGGCTGTAGCACTTTGTGCTACTGGAATTCCACATCAGCTCTAAAACTAGAATAAATTAAACACAGTTTTGACAAAAGATGCTCTGTTTAGAAAAAGAAAGCAGTATTTAAAAGAAAATTAAGCATGCTTCCATTTGTAGTTTTTCAGAAGTGTAACTTTTGGGGGGCTCTTAATGATCACAGTTGGCCATTTAATTGCATGTTGGGTACTATATTTCAGTAAGTAGGAAGGACTAGGATAAAATGACTGGATAGTAATGTAAATTTAAGCTTTTATGATATTTCCATTTACCTAATAATAACTATAAAATAAATATTATAATTTGATGCTAACTTTTGGAGACATTTTGGACATATCCAAAGCTTCAGTAGGGCACCATGAGCTCTGATGATTTAGGTTGACATTTATTAATTTGTTTTTTCTACCCATAAAGTAATAGCTACTCTTTACAAATCAGTCATTGATTTATAATAATAAACTCATAGATTACTATTGATATCCTTGATCAATCAGTATGAACATAAGTTATTAACATTGTGCCACTGTAGAAGGTTGAAATAAAAACAGTAATTATAGTTTCTTCATGTTAAATGCAATATTTAGTTGAATAGAACCTGAGCTCCCTAACTTTTTCAAATTTTGATCAGACAAAGGCATTCCCTGGCATAATTAATCCTCAGACAATTTGAAACAAAATTAGAATTGAATAAGGCCTAGAAATTAATTAGTGGCCAATGCTCATGCTTTAAATAGATGACAAAAGATAGTTTTGTATTGTTTGTCTGGATATATAATGAAAATATAATGGCAATGAGAAAGAAACTTATGTACATATTCTTACATTTTAATTCTTCACCATAATCATCTGGGATGAAAAAAAAATCAGGTAGGCTAATGGTGGATGATTATTGAAAACCAGTGAAATAGCTATTTTCCTATTCATGTATTCTGCTGCCTGATGTGGATCAGATAATAGTTTATGAAAGCCAAATGAGTACCATGCAAAGTTTGAATATTTCATCAGCTAAATATTGCCAGTTTACCTTAGCTGAAGTTTCTAAATTATTTTGTATTCAGACAAAAACTTGCATTATAAAAGTATTTCTGATTCAACTTCTTGTTGAGAAAGAGTTTTCATGGCAAATTAAAATTTCAAAGCAGTTTAGAAATTAAAAAATCTTTTCTACCTTTTCTTGTCTGCTGTTTTTCTGTTAAACATCACTAAGTTTTATATTTCTACAAATACACTGAATTAGATTTGTATATAATGGTGGCTTAGATATTTTGTTTCCCATTGGAAATTAGATTCAATTCTTTCAAAAGGTTCCTTCAAAAAGACTGGCAAACTATGCTCTGGAAATACACATGAAAAATAACCTCATATTTTAAAAAATATCTGATACTAACTTCAAAACCTTTTATGATTTATAATTCTGCACATAGACAGCTGAAGTTTGGTTTGTCTTAAATTTTTCAAATAGCAAATTCTGATTGATGATGAAGGATTGTTTAAGTTAGGAATTCTTGTCAATTTTTATTATTTTGACTTACTATTTGTAATTTTTTACTTGATTCGTTCTAAAGTATCAAATTGATTTTACTTGTTTGAATGTATTGTTTTCATTTACTATTATTGGTAGAATAATAAAGGGACATTTTTATTTTATTTATCTAATTTCTATACTGCTCATCTTACCTGTGTCTCTCTTCATGATTCTGCATGATATTTTACTTTCCTTAACATTTTACAAATTCCACAGGATGACATAGATTTTGCTTCCTGAACATATTTGGGTATCTTTATATATTTTTGGTTGCTAGTCATGAAAATAACATGTAATTTAACCTATTACATATTGTTTTTAGAAATCTTGAACAAAGAAGGTGAAGTTTTTGTTATTTGAGACAGATGTCTCCAAAAATAACTGAGACCAAGATTAAAGAAGACATTTTGCTTGGTCCAGAGATCAGAATCATCATCAATGACAAATGGTTCAAAGATCTGTTAGTGGGGCCAGAGAAAATCACTTGAAAAGCATTCAAGGATGTCATTGAGAATTTTCTTGGCAGCTACCGTGCACCAAACTACATTCAACAGGTTGACTAACCTTCTTACAACTTGCGAGACCTTATAGTGCAACATGTCACTGAAGATTCATTTTCAGCATTCACACTAAAAATCTAGGTACAGTGAGTAATGAATATGTTGAAAAGTTCACCAGGACATTGCCACAATTGAAAACGGTATAAGGCAACTGGAATCCATCCAGGCTGATTATTGTTGGATACTGCATCAAGATGCATCAGGCACCGAGTATTAGTGAAAATCAGTAGCAAAACATTTTTAGCCCTGTTGAACTCATTTATTATTAATTTATTATTTATTAATTAAATTTGTATGCCGCCCCTCTCCAAAGACTCAGGGCGGCTCACAATGCATTTAAAATCATTATAAAAAACATTTAAAAATTAAAAACATTAAAACTCATTCACACCATTCATGACCGGATCTCGCTGGATCACAAGAGCAAGATCAACGGCCCCAGGCCTTCTGGAAAAGCCTGGTCTTCACCGCTTTTTGGAAGGCCAGTAGGGTGGAGATGGTCCGGACCTCAGGAGGTAACTGGTTCCAGAGAGCTGGGGCAGCCACAGAGAAGGCCCTCCCCCGCGGGCCTGCCAGCTGGCATTGTTTAGCTGACGGGACCTGGAGGAGACCAACTCTGTGGGATCTTACTGGTCATTGGGAGTTATGCGGTAGAAGGCAGTCTTGAAGATACCCTGGCCCTGAGCCATGTAGGGCTTTAAAGGTAATAACCAACACCTTGAATTGTGACCAGAGACCAATGGGAGTCAGTGCAGCTTACGGAGAATTGGTGTAATGTGGATGTACCTAGGTGCACTCACGACAACTCTTGCGGCTGTGTTCTGGACCAACTGTAGTCTCCGAACACTTTTCAAAGGTAGCCCCATGTAGAGCGTGTTGCAATAATCTAACCGTGAGGTGACAAGGGCATGAGTGACCGTGAGGAGAGCCTCCCGATCCAAATAGGGTCGCAATTGATGCACCAGACGAACCTGTGCAAAGGTCCCCCTAACCACAACTGTCAGATGTTGCTCTAATCTTAGCTTTGAGTCTAGGAGGACACCCAAATTGCGAACCTGTTCTGAGGGGGACAATTTCTCCTCCCCCAGAACCAAGGATGGACAGTCAACATAGTCTTTAGGAGGCAATACCCATAGCCACTTGGTCTTGTCTGGGTTAAGTCTGAGCCTGTTGACTCCCATCCAGACCCTCACAGCCTCCAGGCACTGGCCCATCACATCCACCTGAATTGACGTGGGGTAGAGATATACAGCTGGGTATATCGTGCAGCATGTTGGAAATACTATGCAATTAAATACATTATATCATTAAAAGTTAATTTCATATTTCTCAAGATTCCTTCATGATACAATTACTCTGAAACTATATTTTTGTTCATTTTGAAGGGGTCTGTCATAATCACAAAAACATTTTTCAGGAAGCAAAACATTTGAAAAAAAAATTGTCCAGTGGTTTATTCAGTTTGCAAATCTATCTTTTTCTTATCTTTTTATTCAAAAGTATCTTTAAAGCCAAATTAAAAAGAAATCTTAATTAAATACCTTTTGCTTTCTTTGCCACCTTTTCACAGTATGTTAAACTTGAAATAAATAAGTTTTTAACAATACTTCCCAAAAAGTATTCTTATTATTATAATGGTTTATGTTTTTTATTTTGATGATATCAAATAGTGATAAAACCTACGCTTTTACATGAATAAAAACTACAATAAATGTGTTGATTTTCATGATGAAATTGTAATTTAAATTCATTTTGTTTTATTATGAAATTGCTCATTTGACACAAAAAAATTTTTTCTTTCTCTTTATAGTGTCTGCTACTTCTCTTACTACTCCACAAACACCAGTCAGTGGACACCCGAAGCCCCAAACACCAGTCACTTCTGCATCCCTTACATCTGGCTCTTTGACGACACCTGTTCTTCCCACAGCTAACACTGCAACAGTAGTTGGTACCAACCAGGTGGCTGGTGGGAGTACACAGCCAATGTCTGTCTCACTTCAGTCTTTGCCAGTAATCCTGCATGTACCTGTTGCAATGTCCTCTCAGCCTCAGCTGCTGCAAGGTCACACAGGAACCTTGGTTACTAATCAGCAATCTGGCAGTGTTGAATTTATACCTGTCCAAAGCCAATCAAACGTTGGCAATCTAACCAAAACTCCTTTGTCTCTATCATCAACTAATTCAGCAAAACCAAACAATAACCCTTCAGTGTCCAGTTCAAGCATTCAAAGGAACTCTCCAGCTAGTGTTGGCTGTTCAATAGGGACAACCCTTGCAGTGCAAGCTGTAACAACAGCACATCCTGTTGCACAAGCCACAAGGACTACTTTGGCTGCTGTGAATACTTCAGGAATATATACTCCTCCCATCAATAGGAACTCCATACAGATGAAGATTCCTATATCAGCCTTCAATAATTCAGCTCCTGAAGTGAATACTACAACACCAAGAATTGGTGAGTTGTTTTTGTTTATTTATTTACATATGATATTTAGAAATTGCCCATCTTCCTCATCAAATGACTCTAAGCTTTGCACAAATAGACATTTATTTATTCATTTATATCACATTTTTATAAAGCTCATCTCCCCCACAGAGTGATTCTGGGTGGTGTACAATAAAAAGTTAAAAATATAAAACTCTGTTTATGTGTGTGTGTATAAGACAAAATGTTCAAGAGGTAAATTGATTAAAATTAATTAAAAGATGAAGGAAGGGCTTTCAAGGGACTAACCAGCCTCATGGCTGTGGACTCCTCTGGGCTCCTCAGGAGAGGGTGCAGAGCAATGTCTTTTCAGAAGACCAGGAGAGTGGCGGCCTGTCTGACCACCGGGGGAAGAATGTTCATAGAGTGGGGACAATGGCAGAGAAGACTCACCACCTAGACCCATGATGGCGAACCTATGGCACGCGTGACACAGGTGGCACACGGAGCCATATCGGTGGGCATGCAAGTGTTGCCCTAGCACAGCTCCAGTGCCTTTCTAGGGCCTCCAGGGAGTGTGGGGAAAGCCGTCTTCACTCTCCCCAGGCTCCTAGAAAGCCTCTGGAGCCTGGAGACGGCGAAAAACGGGCCCACAAGGCCATCACGTGCCAAAAGCAGGGGGGTCAAGTGTGAGGGGGCGGGGCACATTGAATTATGGGTGTGGGCACGCACGCATGACCTTCACCCCACCCCCCGCTTTTGGCATGCGACGGCAAAAAGGTTAGCAATCACTGACCTAGACCCTTACCAGTCAGAATTCTTTAACTGGCAGGTTCTACAACATACCTTCCTTGCCCAACTGGGTAGGACAGTCTGATGTTATGGGACGAAGAAGGTTCTATAGGTAGCCTGGACCTATATTATGTAGGGCTTTATAGATCACAACACCTTGAATTGAACCCAGAAGCAAACTGGCACTCTGCAGTTTGCGGAGCAAAGATGTTACCCTTCCTTTGGACGCTCAGAATTGCTTAGGGGGTCATATTCTGTTGCTTCTGCACCAGCTGAAATTTTTAGATACTTTTCAATTGTAGCCCCATGTAGTTGCAATATTGCATTGCAGTAGTCCAGACAGAAAATGACCAGATCATGAGTGAATGAAGAGCCTCCCTATCCAGGAAAGGGAGTAACTGGCACACTACATGAAAAGTCCTCTAAACCACGGTTTTTTGAGCAGGAACCATGAGTCCTGAAAGGCCTCCAAATTAAGTACCAGGTCTGGCTGGGGTAGTACAACTCCATCCAAGATCAAAGATGATAAATTCCTAGATATAGAGGTCCACTCACAGCCATTCTGAAAACAGCTGAAGCCTGTTTTCCCCATTCAGGCCCCCAGAGGTTCCAGGCACTGTGGAAGAATATCCACAACATCAATCACTTCATCCAGGATGGAGATATATAACTGAGTATTATCAGCATACTAGTGATACCTTAGCCCGTGGTGATGATGATCCTGCCAAGTGGTTTCATGTAGATGTTAAAAAAGAGTGAAGACCACATTGAGCTCGGTAGCAGGCGCCAAGAGTTGTAGTGCTGTCTCTCTATCAATGACTATTACTGGCCTCAGAGGAAGGAGGTGAACCAGTACAAAATTGTGCCACCCACCCCCAACTCTCTAAGTTGGCCCAAAAAGATACCATGATCAATGGTATTGAAAGCTTTTGAAAGGTCAAGGCGAGGAAGGATGGATGTACCACCTCCATGAATTGGACCTCGAATTGGACCTTAAATTGACCTCGAAGTAAACTGGTGCCCAGTGCAGCTTGTGGAGCAAAGGTCTCACATGTGCCTTTCTTTGGATGCCTAAAATTGCCTGTGCAGCTGCATTTGTACTATCTGAAACTTTCAGATACTTTTCAAGGACAGCCCCATCTAGAGCTTCTTGCAGTAGTCCAAAGGGCAGGGCGTGAATGACTGAACAGAGAAAGTGTGTAACTGGCACACAAAACAATGCTGAATAAAGGCCCTCCTAGCCAAAGCTGCCACCTGTTTTTTAAGCAAGAGCTGTGAATCCAGGAGAAACCCCAGGTCTGTCTGGGGTAATGTAACCCCATTTAAGACCAAAGATAAACTACCCACAGCCATTCTGTTTTATCAGGGTTCAGCTGAAGTCTGTTGTTCTCCATGCCGCCACAGCCTCCAGACACTACAAAAGAATGTCTGTTGCATCATGCACTTAACCTGCAACAGATAAAATAGATACAAAAAGTGCACACATTCCTTTAAAATACCAGGTTTTTGAGATGTAAAAAAATCAGATCAAAATAAATCACTTCAGAATTTTTTCCACCTTTAATATAATATATAAGCTGTAAAATTCAATTCAATTGAAAAGCAAACTGAAATCTTTTGGGGGGGGAAATAAAATAAATGTTTTTGCTGTATTATACTATTAAAATAGTTACATGTCTTAAAAGTATATTTGTAAGGCAATGCAATGAAATTCTTCCTTGATCTCCTTAGAGAATCAGACATCCAGATTGTTACCACTTCCACCACCACCAGCAGATAATATAGGAAATAAGAAAGCAGCTGAAGTGCCGTCGCAGGTATGCTGGTTTGTTTGTTTTTATGGAGACTACTTTATTTTCCTTCCATTCAACAAATCAGGTTAGGTATTGTAATTATTTATTTCAGGGTATTAATAAAAATTAAATGTTACTTATTCCTTAATATTTATTTATATGACATAATTTTTGAACAACAGAATCTGCCAATCCTAGAGCAGTTAGCAGTTCTTTTATACAAGTGACAGATAATAGTAGTAACAATTAGATAGTAGTTCAAATATTACAAATTTCCCATCTATCTGTTAGCCAAGGTGGGGTTGGAGGACTCCCAACTGCTCCGTCAAGAGCCACATCTGATACGGGGAACATCAGTTTGTAAATTCTGTCCAAAATGCTAGGCTAGGTGATTCAACATTTGGATTAACTGGTCCATATGGGAAGCTGATAGATTCAGATACATGAGCAGGTATTGGCAACTTGGATGACCATCTTAGAAATTGTGAAAGATACTGCAGCTGGAGTTGATCCTTCATTTCTAGGCTATCTTGATGTAAGTAAGAAGAAGATAGATGAACTGTTAAGCTTTATGTAGGTACAACTGAAAAATGTAGATCTCTCCTGGCTTGTATTATCATAGATAATATGGCTAGATTATTTACTTTGTTGCATTTAACAGTGAGAAATACTTAGGTGTACACAGGAGTCAAAACCTGTGCATGACTGTGCAAAGCCTGCCCCCTGCATTTGAGTTCTATACCCTTTTCTCTTCTCTTGCCAAGTCAAACAGAAGGCTGTTCTCTTGAAAATCATCTTTGATGTAATTATTCTCTCTAGCGAAGGTATTGTTGGTTCCTGCCTCACCAATTTCATTCCTTACATATGTCCTAGCAGAATAATATCACATCTTTACAGTAAATGATGTGTTATGCTTAAAAAAAATTGGTAATGATTAAACCAGGGTTGTGGTTTGGGTGAAATTGTTTAAAATTCTGAGCAAATGTAAACCAGGAATAAGCTGTCTTTTAACTCTGCTGTACTCTTCCTGCAGCCTACTTTCACTCTATTTTATTTCATTTTCCTCTAAATCTCCCAAGATTTACTTTTGACCGTACCAAAAATTGATTAATCAACATTCATAATCTCTCATCACTTTTGTAATCCCAAATTTTCATTGTAAAAAAAACAACTTTTTTGAGTCATTTCTTCAGTATGTGTACACATGCATAGATTTTTGCTTAAACCATGTTATTTGGTATCATTTTTACAGAAAAAAATCAAACTAAACCATTAATTTTGGGGATGGTCCAATCCAAATGGCCTAATCATTTTTCCTATATCTCCTAGCTGCTCATTCATTGATGTCATCTAGTGGAGAAAGTTATATTCTCCTTATAGAATCAAGGGAAAGTGGACATAAAGAAGTTATTTTGATCTGAGAGAAAAGAATTATGTTACCTCAGAGGTGTATGGAGTAACACTAGTTGGAAATAAGAAAAACATGCTTAATGGAAAGATGCAGAGGCTGGATGAGGGGAAAAATAGAATGATTGCTAAAAAATATTACTACAATGTAATGTGTGTAAAAGTGTGCTTAATAAATTGTTACAAGGATTAAAATGTATGTTGCTATTTCAATAGAAAGCAAGGAATAGATAAAACAGGCAAAGAAATTGTACAGCAATTTTGACTCATTATTTTTGAAAATTGAATGAAAGGAGCTAAACAAAAAATCCCACTAGAATTAATGGAATGAAAAATAAACATAATAAAATGACATATGAAGCTGAAACAAAGAAGACCTATAAAGAGTATTTTCGAGATCTTTTTATGGGAATAATAATAATGATGATACATTAAAAAATAAAATTGAAAAAATGTTATGAATGTCTAAAAAATGGAGGAAAGGTGATTATATAATATTTTGAACAGGTGGATTTGATTTAAATCGAGTTGATTTAAATCACAATTTAAATCATGATTTAAATCACTAGTAAAAAGGCTTGATTTAAATCAACTCGATTTAAATCATAATTTTTAAAGAGCAACTGTCATCTCTGCTACTCCTTTGACCCACTGTTGACTCACCGATAGTCCCAGTGTTGCAGAATATACAGCCTCATGCTACATAACTAAGCTCAATTTCATGCTGAATAAACTAAATTATTTGTGTATCTTAAATAGAAAACTATCTTACGATAGATTTTTACCCCCAAAGTTTTTTATTAAAATAAATTCGATAAAAATAAAAAAAATCCGATTTAAATCAAAAAAATCCGATTTAAATTAAAAAAAAATCTGATTTTTTTTATTTTTGTTAAAAAAAATCATTGATTTTTATCCATCCTGATTTTGAAGAATGTTAAAATGGTTTTTTAAAAGACTGCAGGTATAGGAAATGTAATTGGAGAAATATTTTAAATATGTAGTAGCCTCTGAAAATTCATGAACAATGAGTAGGATGGCCTACTTATCCATCCTGATTCTGCCAAAAATATCAATAATTACAGCTGATGGTTGTTTACTGAATGTTATAAGAATAGTATATAATAGAAGTAAAGCTGGTATGAAAATAAATGGAAAGCTGAATTACTGGCTCAGCAATAAGCAGGGAAGTTGATCAGAATGTATGTCTCCTTGGTTGTTTAATATATCAATGGATAAACACATAAAGGAAATTTTTGATAACATATCAAATATGTTGATTGGAAATATAAATGTTCATGTATATAGGCCATGCCATGTCTGACGAAGCATTTCAATGATCTTAATGAATCTTATGTGCCATACTGTGATTGTATGCTGTGATGAACACTATAGGTCTGAAAATTAATGCATCAAAGACCAAGGTAGTTGTGTTGCAAATACATTAATTAATGTAACCTAGGGATGTGGAGAAATATTAAAATATGCAGACTTAAGTAGAAAGGTAGGGGGTAACCTATAATCTATTATGAGGAAGTAACACAAAAGGAAGAAGAATGCTTGTAAAAAGTAGGCTCCCTCACTTTTTTATATAGTACTAAGGGTTGGATATGTCAGAAGAAATGTAGATGTAAATTAAATGTAGTGGAGTAATGAGCAGGGTGGCTAAAAATCAATGATTTTTTTTTAAATGTAAAAATCGGATTTTTAAAAATTTAAATAGGATTTTTTTATTTTTATCAAATTTATTTTAATAAAATGCTTTTGAAGTAAAAATCTAAAGATAGTTTTCTATTTAAGATATATTAATAATTTAGTTTATTCAGCATGAAATGGAGCTTAGTTGTATATTCTGCAATATTGGGACTGTTGATGAGTCAACAGCAGGTCAGAGGAGGAGCTGCTGTGGGACAGAGATGACAGTTGCTCTTTAAAATTGAATTGATTTAAATCAAGCCTTTTTACTAGTGATTTAAATCATTTAAATCGTGATTTAAATCGACTTTATTTAAATCAAATCCACCCTGGTAATCAGTAATTTAAGAAGTATGTATGGAATAACTACAGAGAGTTATCACAAGGGCAGTGAATAAATGTGGACTGAATGTAAAAGTGAATAGCCAATGCAATAGGATTTGGTCATATAGAGTAATGAATGAACATTGAATTATAGAATGATTATATGGAATGACTGAGGAACTCATGGTTGGGTGTAGTCAATTACAATTTTAAAAAGTGAACATTTTCAAGAACAAATCAATGTATCAGTAAGTCTCTGAATATATAGTAAAAGCAAGGATGGTCTGCAGGAAAACAGATTGAGAGATATTGCATATGTTAAACTAGCTTTATTTTATTTCTCTTACCATATGCATGGAATGTATTTTTCTTGCTACTTCTTATTTTTTTTGCATTTTGCATGATGTTACCTACTTTAGAAAAAATAGCATATATGTGTTTGTGCGTGTATGTGTATACATAAAGCCATTGCAGTATTGAATTTGAATTCTGAGTTATTTTGTCGGTGGTAGGGGCTATTCTTAAATTTAAACTAGATAATTATTTAGAAGATTAGTTTACTATATAACACATAACTGAATGTTTAGATTGCTAAGAATATTTATAAAAACAAATGTGCAATTTCCTCTACTTAAAATCATTTTCATTATTATAAGCATATGTCTCTACTTTTTTCAAAATGATCACGGGCACTGTAATTGTAGAAAAGTATTTTCGTTTAAAATTTTCATGGCTATCTGCTGTTTCATGTATTAAAATGTGTAGAGAATTTTAGCATTCTTTCTAAAACAACTTCTCACAGTATTATGAACATAATTATTACTTTTTCTTGATATTTTAATTTTGAACCCACAAACCAAATTGTGTTGTTGTAGTTGTAACAAACCAGAACTGTATGGTCATCCAAAAACATTTAATCCAAACTATTATGGTACCAAAAAAATGAAGAGGGAGTATTCTGGAATACAAAAATTAAATTGGGTATTCTTTTCTCTGTTTCTACTGTTTAGAAATATGTCATTATTAATCAAGTTCTTAATCAAGTTTCTAGTTCTTAATAGGCATTTCTTTAAAGTATTCTAGTTTTTAATATTGCAGGTGTTAATCTAGTTAATCTAGTTTTTTATTATTATTATGTGGCATCAAATTAGTTCTATTAGAGTTAGGTCCACTAAAACTAATTGTACATTTCAGTAGAGTAATTAAAATCCCATGGATCTCTGTGGGAATATTTTATGTCATTTTTAACACTCCTAAAAGGCAATTGAAAACCTGTTACAAATAATGGGTGTGGGTAATATTTTGTTTGTTTGCTTGCTTTTTTCATTTTCCAGACTGGAAAGATTACAGGAAGTATTGCAGCTGGAGTAATTGATCTCACATTAGATGATGAAGATTATGGTTCTTCTCAAGGTAACTGAGAAGATATACCTGACCAAAAATATGATTTGGTTAATGGAATTAAGAATAAGCTATGTTGCAACATATTAATTTCAGAAGTTATTGAAATCAAAAATAAACATTTGTTAATTAAAATAATTTTACTGTAAAACATTGTTCAAAACTGAGTTTTAAAATTTCATGATAACCCATAATGCATCTGATTACTGCAGCCCATGAATGTTTATGCCTTCATAAATTTATTTGCCCAAGATATTAGTAAACATTTTTTTTACTATTGCAGAGTTCTTACATGAGTTTTCTCTTGAAAAATGGCAGAAGTTGCAATTGATGCAAAATTTAATAGCCAGACTTTTGAACAATGTAAGGTATGGGGATGATATAATGTCTCTACAAAGTCCAGCCACTAATTGCTTACTAGACACAATTTAAGATTCGGATGCTGAGTTTTAAAGTACTAAACAGACTTCATTACCTGCCATTATCTACCTGCTTGCTATGAATTGGCTAATAGACAAAAGGAAGGAGTGGCAAGCCGAGATAAGGAAGGGAAGGGAGGGAGCACCTGCTCTCATGAACAAACTTAAAGAATCCACGGCCAAGTTAAATCCAAGAGTCTTGATGAAGCTTGTGGAAGTCTTTTCTGTTATCTTTGAAAAATCATGGAGAACAAATATAACACCAAAAGATTGTAGAGGACAATGTTTGTTCCTATCTTCAAAAAGGGGAAAAAGAAAGTCCAGGAAACTACAGACTGGTCAGCTAGATGTTATTTCCAAGAAATCCTTGAACAAATTATTAAGCAGTTGATTCATGGAAAGATACATGGTTTGGCAGAACCCAGCATGGATTTATCAAAAATAAATTATTCCAAATCAACCTAAACACCAATTTTGATAGAGTGACAGTTCAGGAATTCAATGGACATAGTGTACTTTGACTTCAACAAAGTATTGAACAAAGTGTACCATGAAAATCTAGTGGAGAAGGTAACAAAGGATTAACAGGATTATGCTACCATTAGATGAATACAGAGATGGTTGAACAGTCATCTCTAAGAAATGCATATCTATATATCTGCATCAAGTTAGAAGGAACTATAAATATGAAGTACCAGCATATTCATAAATGTCTTGTATGAATGCTTAGAAAATATTTTGCGGACATCACAGATAAGGAAAATAGCATATAATGTAGATGACATTTTCAGTGTTTGGGAGAATCTTGACAAAGTAGAACAAAATGTGGAAACTTAGAAAGATGAATTTTAATAGAAACAACTGCAAAGTCCTACATTTACATAGGAAAAATCAAAGATGTAAATATAGGAAGGGCGCACTGAGTAGCAATAGATGCAAAAAGAATCACAGGTTGAAGATGGAGCCAATATTGTAGTGTAGCTACAAAAAATTCAAATGCAATCCTGCAGTAAAATATATATATAGTTTCAAATTCATGAGATGTTATGGGTCCATTTTGTTGTGTGTTGGTTAGCCTGGATCTGGAATAGTTAACATCCAGTACCAGATACATATTAAGGAGGGGCATTGAAGTACTGGAACATGCCAAGAAGATTGAAGACATCATTACAGAGCCTGGAAGGAAAAAGTTAAAAGAAATGATTGGAGAAGTTGTTAAGGCTGGAGAAGAAAAAGGAAGATGTAACTATCAGCAAGTATCTCTGGCTATTTTGTAAAGACAATTGTTCAAAAGACATGAAAGAAACAATGGTGTTTTAATTACAAAAAAATTAAATTTTGATTAGATATCAGAAGAATGGATATCAGAAAATATCTACAAGAACTAGATAGCAAGAAATAGTGGACTGTATTCATTGTAATATTAAAGAAAACGCAGCTTAACAACCGTGTTACTGACTTAACTGCAGTGATTCACTTAACAACTAGCAAGAAAGTCGTAAAATGGGGCAAAATTCACTTAACAAATGTCTTACTTAGTAACAGAAATTTTGGACTCAGTTGTGGTCGTACCTCAAGGACTACCTGTACATGCACAGGGTTTAATAGAAGATAACCAGTATCTTGAATCACACTTAGAAACCAACCACTAACTAGCACACCTTACAGAACATTAGGGTCACACAGGCTTAATGAGGAATGCCCATCATTGTTTACGCCAATAAATTATGTAGCTTCCAAGAAGTCTTCAAGGACAGTTCCATATAGATAACATTACAGTAAATGAAGTCATGAAAGTAACCAAGTGACTTATCTAAAAGGTGACCAACTGTCTGAGGGCATTCTGTTCCAGATAAGAGCACAGCTAGCACTCTAAAGACAATTGTGCAAAGGCTATCTCGCCCACAGTTGCCATCTATTCTTCAAGCAGAATCTAAGTCCAAAGATGGCCCCAAACTGCACATCAGTGTTGAATGAGAAATGCAACTCCTTCAAGGCCAAAAATAGAAAATCACCAGATGGCCCAAATATCTGCAGCCATTTGATATTGTCCTAATTGAGCCTGGGTCTATTCTTCCTCATCCAGATCTACATAGTCTCCAGATACTGAGAGAGGACTTTGACAGCATCACTTTGTTCATCTGGGGTTGAGTTATAGTTGAGATATTATCACAAAACGGACATATGACCTCACCTAGTGGTTTCATGTAATGTTAGTAAGGTGTAATGCCATTGACCCCGGAAGTAACCCACAAATGAGGCATTGTGCACTCGATCTCTCCCCCTACTAGCCTGTTGACACTAATTGAAGCTGGCCACAAAGAGAGGAGGGGAACCACCACATAATGGTAACCCCTGCTTCCAAAGTTTGCAACTAACCCATAAGAATACCATAATTGATGACATCAGAATCAACTGAGAGATCAAGGAGCACGATAAATGCATTACCTCCATTTTCGATGTGTCACAGATCATCAGTAAATGTGACCAGTGCTGACTCTGTACTGAAACATAGCCTGAAGCCTAACTGAATTGTGTCTAGATAATCCAGGTCTTCCAGGATCCTTTTGGAGCTTGAAGCCCAAGCACCGTCTCAACAACTTCCACTAAGAAGGGACATATACTGTTCATCTAGCAAATTTCTCCTCCCTTTTTCTATTCTTGCAAATTAATAACATTATCTAATATGAATGGCAATAGTTATGTCAGAGAACCCTGCCTGATCTCAGTTATTATTTATACTACAGGGGAATATTTTGGCATAAAAGATGGAGGCCAACAAACTATGCAGAATAATCAGAAAGAATATATGTCTTTATTTCGTTTTTTTTAAAAAAAAACAAAAACATTGAAGGTGAATAGCAAATATTCTCCAGACTACTTGCATTTGCACAATACTAGACATTTTTCCAGATACTTTTTCTGTATTGGCTTTATGTTCCTAACAGATGGCAAGAAGCAGAACCAGAACCAAGCTAACAACTCTGGAATGGGCCTATCAGCCCCATCTATTGCTCGCCCGTTACATGCAGTACAGACAACCCCTCTCCAACAAGCTGGTATGCCAACAAGTGGCCTGTCACAAGCCACCATACATGTTCTCCCCACAGGTAATATATTTTTTTTAAAATATGCTTTGAAAACTTTATGTTGAGCACTTTTGTTGAAGGGGGAAAAAGAATGGTCATATCTGATTTGTTAAGAATTCACTAACCCTGGCAGATGAGACTTTATTGATTTTCCTTGGTGCGGTGTGAGTAATCCATTGATTTTAAGTAACTAATAGTTCATTATAAAAAAATATAAATTTCAAAGCTGTAAATTGTTGTGGTTCTTTTAATTAATAGTGTTTCTGGGTCATTGAGAAACCTTCACATATATGTAAAACTTTACCAATTGCAGACAGATAGCTAATTTTCAATTTAGGACTGTAATTGAGGCTGGATTTTCAGTCGTAAGTCAAAACACCCAGCTGACCAAACCCAAATTTACAATATGTTTGGTGGCAGTCATTGAGGAAGTAGCATAGTTTTAAAATGCCAAGTGGGCTTTTTTTTCTGGCAAAGGAAAAAAAAACCCTGCAGATTATGGTCATATGACCACAGGATGCTGCAACCAATTATAAAGGTTTAAGGAAAGAGGAAGTCAAGAGCACATATGAAATAAATTACAAACAGTTGTTTCCAACTACCAACCAATCCACTCTGTCAGCTTAAGTCATCCTCAGCCGGTGTTTCTCATTAAGGGCAAGGTTGCTTTCTTGCGAGTAGCTTCACTGACATCCACTGTGCCTCTTGGGGTTCAGTCTTGTCTGCAGATCAGGTAGGTGGCAGCTGTTCCTCATTAGTCAATCTGTTGCCACTGTGCCTTGCCAGTCTCTTGTTCTTCTGCTTGCACAGGCAGCTGTTCATCTGATCAAACTCTCATCCCTCTCCCCAACATTAATCAGAACTGCCTCCCTGTCAGCGACAGCACACTTCACAGTCTCCAGAAGCCCCATGTCACCCCTTTCTGATGGCCCTGACTCTGACTCTGACTCATTCTCATCAGAGCCAGTCTTGGGTGGAGACACAGCCCTACTCCCCTGCATGGCCCTCCTTCCCAGGTCACTGTTGCTATGGTGTGGAATTGATGGGTTAAGTGAGGGGCATGGACATTCACAGCATCTTCCCAGGAAAAATCCTCAGGGCCATAGCCTGCCCAATCCACCAAGTGCTACAGGTGGTCGCAAAACCAGCAAGAGTCCATGACATTCGTCACCTCATTATCCAGCTGACCTTATACCATGACAGGTGTAAGTGGTGGTGCCACAGGACGGAAGGGACTGGCAGAAGCATCCAGGACCAATAATCGGTGAAAGACAGGGTGAACCCACAGGCAAGGAGGTAGTTTCAAATGGAACACCACAAGGGATATAACTGCCTCTATAGCAAAGGGGCTCAAGAAACTGTGATCCAACTTCTTGGATAGCCACAATTTAGGCAGGTGCTGGGTGGATAGCCAGAACTGACCTGACTGCCAAAGATGGGATGACCCTGTGATGGTGGTCAGCAAACCATTTGTAGTCCTCCTTCACCTTGTTTAATTGACACTTTACAATTTGGTGCAAAGTAGTCAATTCATGGAGGAAACTATTCACAGCAGGTACAGGAGAGTCCAACAGCGCTAGAGGTAAAAGGCGCAGATGAAATCTGTCATTCGCCAGAAAAGGTTGAGGCATGCTGAAAATTGTTATAAGCAAATTCACTGCCAACAAGTCTAGCCAGTTGTCTTGCTGGAAGATTTCAAAGCAATAGAAATATTGTTCCAGAATTTCATTCATTCGTTCTGTGCATTCATCCTTCTCTGGATGATAGGCAGAAGAAAGGTAAACCTGGACTTCCATCTTCTGGAGCAGCGCCTGCCGGAACAGGGCTGTGAAGTGAACCCTGTGATCTGTCATGACTCAGGTAACCGACGTAACTGAAATATAAGTTGGATGAACAGTTGCGTGGTTTCCTGTGTTGTCAGAAGTCTGGAACGGAATGAAATGGGCTATTTTGGTCAGCATATTGACTAAGATCAAGATCATTGTGGCTCTCTTGGAATCCAGCAAATCTGTAATAAAGTCCAGCAAAACAGCGCCCCAGAATCTCTAAGGGGATGGGCAAGGACTGCAACAGTCTATGAGTGGCACCAGTACTGTTTTTGGCTTGTAAACCCTTCCACATTATGGCATATCCAGAGTCACCAAAAGATCCACAAAACCAAATGAAAGGTCTTAAAGAAAATGAAGTAGCTGTTGGTTTATCATGACCTTGGCATGGAATGAGCCCCTGTAGTGGACCTGCAGAGACAAAACACACTTGCAGAAGTAAAATGTGTTTTCCTCCCATGACCAAGGGTTAGGCTGTCCCCCGGTGTCCTGGTTTAACTCCCTTCACTGTGTCGTCATGAAAGAGTCTCATGTTACTCATCCCGCATGTATGGCTTCAAGTCCACGGGCTCTTGATCAATTGCAAATTTGTCAGTAGGAATGACAGACCAAGGCAAGAACTTCCCATCTGCAAAAGCATGTTCAGGTTTTTGAGATCCCATCTGTTCACTGATTACATTCACTTGGAATATGTTACCTTAAAGTTAAAATGGATGAAGAACAGTGACTATTATTGTTTAAGCTTCTGTGCTGTCTTTAAATGTTTTAAGTTTCTATGATCCATCTGGGCTTCAATCTGATGCCGAGTTCCTTTGAGGTGATGTCTCCATACTTCAAAGGCTAGCTTCATTGTCAGAAGCTCTTTATCCCAGACGGTGTAGTGCTTCTCTACTAAGCTTAATTTATGGGAATAACAGACACAAGGAAATAAAGTTCTATATGGTGCAGCAGCTTGCAGCAATACTGCCCCCACTACAACATCTGATGCGTCAGTCTCAACAACTAAAGACTACATGGAGTCAGGGTGTCTGAGGATAGGTTCTGACACAAATGCAACCTTGAGGTTGTCAAAACATGTTCTGTTCAACCTTACCTCACATAAACTTGGTCCTTTTTGGGGGGGATTGGATAGGGGCAAAGTGAGTGTTGCAAATTGAGGAATGAAGGCTCGGTAGTAATTGGCAAAGTCCCCCACTTGACACGGGGGTTGCCAGGCATGTAGAGTCTTGATTTCCTTAGGAACCATGTCAATACCCTCAGGAGAGATCTGGTGACATAGAAAGTTAATCATGGTTAGTGCAAATTGGCATTTCTCATGCTTTGTGAAAAGCTGGTGTTCCCAGACACACTGTAGCACAATGTGCACATGGTCCCAATGCTCCTTCCACAGTGGGGAGTAGATAAAAATATTGTCAAGGTATATAACTACAAATTGGTCCAGTAGGTCTGGAACACATCATGCATAAAGTACATGAAGACCCTAGGGGCATTGGTGAGTCTGAATAATCGTGTACTGAAAATGGCCATAAGGCTGTTTTCCATTCATCTTCATTGCAGATTTGCTGTAAATTGTAAACTCCTCTCAGGTCCAATTTCATAAAGATCTTGACCTGACACAACTTCTCCAGTAACTCAGAAATCGGGGGCAAGAGATAATGGTTTTGGATCATGGTGTCATTAAGCCCCCAATAATCTCAGCAGAGTCTCAATTCCCCGGATTTCTTTTTCACAAATAGTACCAATGTGGCTAATGGCAGCATCGAGGGTCTATCCCTCCCCACCAATTCTTAGGAATCAAATCTTGAAGAGCAGCCAACTACAGGCTGGACAGGAAGTAAACAGTCCCCACCTGCAATTTAGCATTAGGAACGAGCTCAGTGTGACAATCATACAGGCATGGGGGGCAGCTGATCGGCTTCATATTCTCCAACACATCCATGTAATCCACATTTTCCAGCAGGAGGTCCATGGGCTTGGCACCTTGTTTTTCCATAGTGAAAACATTCAGTCTATGCCTAGTGCATTTGGGGTTTATAAAATCAATCACCACAGATTATGACATGATGTGTGTAGATCATGCGGCTGCCGCCATTCCAGTCTCAATACCAACGGAAAATAGAGCTTGGTAACCACATAAAACTCTACCTGTTCCATATGGTTACTAACTGTATATGAAGAAGAGCTCTTGCCATGGCCACTGGTCCCAAATGGAGCAGCTATGATTGATTGTCTCTACCAGCAAAGGCAGTGCCATTTAATGTTGGTGAATGTCCCATTTGGCCGCAAAGGCTGTATCCATAAAGTTTGCAGTTGACAGGAAATCAGACATCACAAGTTGCCTGGATGGTGTGGTTTAGGATTATTGAGACGCGAACTTGACCTATTGAGCCCTCTAGGCTGGGCTTCTTGGTGTTTCCCACTGGCAGCTTCTTCATCTTGGCAGGACACTTGGCAGCCATATGACCTCGTCCTCTACAATAAAGACACAAAGGGCTTCCTGTTGTGGCTCCGTCCTCCGAGCCTATCTTATCGGAGGAAGAAGGCTCCGAACATGAAGGAGAGGAGACAGCCAGGTCTCCCTCTCCAGGACCCTCCTCTCTGGAAATGCCTCAGGTGTTTCCGAAGGAGAAGAGATTGGCCAGGAGCCAGGTGTTTCCGAGCCGTCGGATAGTGACGAAGAAACATTGTGGTTGGACCCACGCCAGCGTCGGAGAGACAAGTGTGACCAGCAGAAAAGGAGGCGTGCCAGAGATTAAGCTGAGTCACTGGACCACACCCCACAGGCTATAAAAGGGAGTGTGGTGGCCATTCGGACTCTGTGACGGACAAAGCTAATCTCTGGCGAGGCACTTGCACCTTCGGACACAACACCTATTTGCCATGGATTTAATTACAAACTGGACTATTCAAACTCTGTATTTTTGTCTGTGTTATCGGAGTAAAAGCTCTTGGCAGGCAGCCACGGAGTTGCTGCCAAGTTCCTTATCACTGACATTGTGTGTTTGAAGAGTTTATTTAACCCTCGGCTGGCTGGTTGGGTGTGTGCGTGGTACGGGGACAGAACACTTCCCATCACCGACACTCCTTTTCCACCTGTGACAAACTTGAGTGGCCTGAGCTTTTTGACGTAATGCTGGGCCTGGGGATTGTCATGCGTCTTCTAGCCCTATGCATCTGCTGACAATGCAAAAGCAC